CAATATCTTCCGAAGCTGGCGGCCTCTTGGAATGGCGCTCCGCAGCAGCTGCAGCTTCCAGCGGAGATGTCTGCATCTGCAACGCCGCATTTCGCTCAGGTAGGTGATAGCAACCTCCGACCAGCGGGGGCTTTCTCTCGCAGTCGTTCCCTCTGCGCCCGTCAGCTGACAGAAATCCCCAACGAAGATGAGGGCAGGTCTCCTGTCAGCAGCGTCCCAGAGGCGAAGAAGGCGGTCAAATATCCACACTGGCAGTTTTGTCCAACCTCGTCGACGACAATCATGTCATACGGCCGCATCAGTTCTGCGATCGACAGCTCGTCCTTGTGCAGCGCAAACATTCCATGCACGGTGTCTACGTCGAGGTCGGGATGTCGAGACCTGTAGCCTGCCGCCAGCATGCCAGTAGGGCACGCCACACCAACTCGTGCGCCCTTTCGAATGGCGTCAGAGAGTACTATATTTCCACGGCTGTGCTCTTGCCGCTTCCAGCAGGTCCGAGAACGCAAGAGACTCTGTTTTGTTGGCATGTGTCCTCCAGCCAGACACCCCACGCGTCAACCGAATTGTCGTCAGGCCACCGCGCTTGTGTCGCGTCGTGCGCCCGCCTGCTCAGAATTTGAACGACTCGAGACTGCTCCGCGGACAACTCGATGATGCCGCCTGGCGCCTGTGCGACCCCATGGAGCGGCGGATTGGGAACCTCATCCACCGTCATTTCGCCCGAGAGGTAGGCATCAACCAATTCTGTCTGGGCAGCCAAGGCAGCCAACGAGTTCTGGATGTGCAGCTCCGTCTTGGCCTCTTGCTCCATCTCTTGCGCCACGCACGCAGGATTGCGCCAGACACTGGGCCGATGCAAGAGGCAGAGCCCCAGGAATCGCAAACTCTCAGGTAAGGCAGCTGCTTCTGGTTTCCACAAGTCATCCAAGCTCCGAAAGGGCACATGCAGAAGCAGCCATTGGCCATAAAACCGGTCATTGATGCGGCTGTACATAACGGTCGCCACCAGAGTGCTACCGTCCGCGGGACATGTGTTTATCCACTCGGTGTGAGGCGTGCAGATTCTGTGGCAGCTGTGCCTGCGTCGATATCTCTGGGATATTTGACCATCAGTGCCAGACTTCCGTAGAAATTGCATGAGGCTCATACCATCTCTTCGCCATGCACTGGACATATAGCTCCGTGCAATCTGCGGCATTTCCTTCTCCCAAGGCACGGGCACAACGAACTTTCTCACGATGCCCGGGCAGAGAAACTGCGGATGCTGCTGAGCAGCCAGCTGCATGACCATTTCGGGTTGCAGTGGATGGTAGTCGGACAGGATGCGTCGGGCTAGCGAAAAGTCACTGGCCTCATTGTTCAGCATTTCCTGCGCGAAGGAGCTGCTGAACTTGGGAAGATAACCTCATGCAGAAGGGACAGAACACATTAGGAACGGACCACCAGTGCTTTATGGCCTGTAAGGCACAATTGCAGACACTTTATTCTATCGTCCTCCAGCAAAAGGCATACACAACATTCATGTAATGAGGGGAGCTGTATTTGGCCCAGGAGCTGGCGCAGTACTTCAGCACCATAGCCCGGCCATCGGAGGCTAAGACGTCCGTGTGGCAGTGCAGCGCAGCCAGGACGTCAGGAAGATATGCTCGGCAGCACCGGTCAAAGGCCTCTCTGGGGTGATGTAGTTGCAGTGTCTGGTCCGACTCAGAGGTCCGAGTCTCATCTTCGCGGCAGGGCCAACCGCTGGATGTCCAGTCCAACTGCGAACCTATGACTAGATCTCTCATTTCCTCTTCTGTTTCCTTTGCAGGGATGTCTGCGCGAATCTTGGATGGCAGATCCATGCTTTGGCTTCCTTCGAGCCAGAGGAGAATGTGTGCATGCATGGTTCCACGCCCGTGGTAGAACTGCGCCTCTCGAAATACTCCTCGTTTGCGCTTCCCGTCCTGGAATTCCAGTCGAGCGACCCAGTAGCGCACTCACCCATTTCCTTCGGCCGCCGCAAAGACGTGCTCCCGCTTTGCTTGCAACCCTTCATTGGCACCTGTCAGGAGGCCCTTCACAGCCTGGCTCAGAACATGCGCGATGTGTAGGGTTTCGGCCACTGGCATGTGCAGCCTGTCGCAGAGGCTCTTCACGAGCTCGTCCTCGAGCCAGCGGTGATACGGAAAAGACCATTCGTATGGTGCAATTGTCAGGAACAGGCTTGGCCAGCCCAATTGGCGCTGCGCGTCTACCAGTGCCATGTGGTATGTACGCCATACCTCTGGAGAGTAGGGCTTGGATGCTAGGGCCTCCCGTATCCCTGTTCCTGCACTGTTCTTGGCGCCGCCGACCGTAGTGAACAGCCACAGGTCGTACACGAACTGCAGCAGCTGGCCGTCGGAATTGTACCCAACAAGCGCTGAATGAGCCTTTGCCAAAAAACCTGCCTTGGCGCTCTGTCGCGAGGATCTCGGCCCCTCATGCGCGGGGCCGTCGAGGTCAGCCTCATCCATGTCCGGCATCTCTCGACGCTGGCGCTCTAGCCTGCGGGCATCTTGAGAGCGGACGCAGGTTTCTGTCATGGCCGTGCTCCAGTAGAGATGGGGCCATAAAGCACACTCAAGTCCGATGGTCTCGATGAAGTTCGCAGGCAATCGCTTGACAGGTGCTTCTGCCCACGTCTCGCCTCTTTCGATTGCGCGGGCTCTCTGCTGAAGGAAGCGCTCGTGCAGCTGCCAGAAGCGGACGTAGGACGAGTTCTCCGACTGCAGCAGGTAGTGCAAGGCACGCTCACCCCGTCGGCGTTTCTTCGATGGCAGCCGGGCCAGGTTAGTTTGCACGGATGACCTCTTGAATGAGAACCGGAGCATGTCGGCGTGGAGGAGGTACCCGTTGGGCGCACGGAACGTCCCTCCCGTGTGGATGTCGAAGGGCCGCAATGCTTCCACTACCTCTGGCGTCAGCTTCCTCAGTCGCCGCGGAACATCTTGTGGGTTCGGTGCCCAGTAGCCAGTTGCCCCGCCAGATTTGCAATGCCCGCCCAAAAACAACTCTGCAGATGCTTTGGCGCTGCCCTTGGCGTGTTGCGACCGAAACGGTTGCGGCACCATGCGGCCGCATGAGCATGCGCATGCGCCAGGACTCCTCGAGGCACCGCCGACGAAACGCCATCGCCCGCTTGCTCGTCCAGAGGGCTTCCGGCCGCGCGTCGTCGCGGTACACGGCAGGGAACTTGCGCTTCAGCCGCTTGTCGGAAAGTGAGCGCGCCCTTCCAAAGCTCTCCGAGCGCCCTTTCCAGCCGAGGCTCTGGAACAGAAGCGAGCAGCTACTTGAGGGCCTTTCATTCGCTCGATCTGTCCAAGTGCTGCCTGGTGAAGCTCGGCGTCCATCTTGGCCAGGCGCGTCAGCAGGCGGTGAATGCACCGACCGTTTCGCTGGTTCAGCGCCGATTGCAGAGCCTCCGGCGAGCAGAAGATGCAGTACTCGAAAGACGCATGGCCTCCTCGGGCCTGGTGCGGAGGCCCGCCCTGGCCATCTCCGCTGAGACTGAATCGACACTGCGGATTGCGGCACCGACGCCTTTTGTTGCCAGCCTTCTGTCGTCTGCTCTTTGCCCTCCTGCGATCCTTATCTCCTCGGACCAAAGGGATCCAGTTGACGCAACCATTGACGTGGTGATACTTGATCGGACGTTCATAAGCGCGAACCTCGTCCAACACCCAGGCATGCGGCTGCTTGTACCTCACAGCCTCCGTGTTCTCGATCAGGTGCAGGTGTCGGTTGGCCTCCAGCTCTCGTCGACTGATCGGCTTACTCTCTCGAATCACTGCTTGGCCAACCAGAAGCTGCGAACCAGTCTGCGCGATGGCCACCGTCCGGCCCAGATGTTTCTTGCATGGGCTACCACGAACTTCCCAGCGCTTACCATGGTGGAGAATCTTTTCACACCACTCGGGCTTGATAGCCAGGGCAACTGCCGGAAGAGACGGCGGCTGCGTCTCTTCTGCGCCAGAGCCAGCTGGCAGAACCTGATGCTGCGGTGGAGCTCCCCGCGATGTCAATCCGTAGGGGTTTTCCAGCAGTCGGAGCTGCCTCTGCGCCTCCTCCTCTCCGAGGACGTCTTCAATCTCACGGAGCCAAAGAAGAAGCGCAGAAGGGTCTTGCCAAGAGGCGTCAAAGAGCATTGACGTGATTTCCTGTTGTGAGGCATCGAGGGCGGGGTCGTGTGCATCCTCATCACACCTTTGCGAAGGGAAGCGATCAGCGGGAAATCTCACAGCGCAATTACGCATCCGCGCGCCTCTCTTCTTCGTCGGTTCCGTCGTGAGGCTCGCCGAAGTTTGACCTCAGGACTCCGCTGTACACAGGTCACAGGCAGCCTGAAGTGGAGAGTTGCGTATAGGCTCGTGTTAGGCGCCAGAGCTTGCCGAAGCTCCGAGGAGGCGGCAGAATCTGTGGCGCGGGGTCCGGTATTCCCCTGGTCGGGACATCAAGTTTGCATCGTCCTACCCTCTCAACATTCTGAGTTAGGGCCAGCAATCAGCTGCGTCACTGTCGCTTTCCTGTTGCATGCTGCCCGCTCCAATCGCCCTTAGCAGGAAGAACGGCAATGAGTTTGGCGAACTAGCCCATGGATTCCCAAGGCTGATGCCAGCGTTCGGCGGAAGGCTCCGTGCCGATCTCTTCGAGGCTGCAATTCCTTGAAGTATGAGGTGACACTCGAGATTGCAACGCAGATTCTGGACTGAGGACGACACAAGACAGGGAATTGCTCTCCCGACTCCATGGCGGCCACCGTGCTCAGCCTAGGCAAGGACTGCGTGGCTCTCTGAAGCTGAGCAGTTCGGGTGCTGCGAGGCTTTGGCCGCAGCTGCACATCTAAGAGCGGGAGGATTCGAAAGAGGCTACGCATGCCTCTATTTCTCCAGCGTGGGTCTAATCTACCCCGATACGTGCCTCAGAGCCAGAACGTGCTGAACTCAAACAGTCGAAATGACATCCAGGGAATCGGCAGAACACTTGGATGCCAGGCCCCAGCTAGCGCGGAGTGTAATGTGTCGCTACAAGGTGTTTTGTCCGCAGGCGCTGGCTCATCCTTCTCTGCCTGAGCTGCGCTAGCGATACTCGGGCGTGCACCCACGATCGCACGGGGGCAGTGCCCGCACCGTGCCAAATGAGTTTCAAGCTGTGCCACGTCGCGCGCCTGGTCCAAGCGAGTCATGCAAGATGCGGCGCTTGAAAACAGCAGCAACAATGGCGTGCTTGCGCGTGATTATGTCAGTATATGTGCTCGTTCACCCCAGCCTGTCAGTGTCTGTCGGCCCGCGACTGCGCCAGGAGAAGGGGGACGGCGGTGTCGAGACACTCCTGGCCGGTGCTTTGCATCCCAGCAATCTGAGCTCCGAGCATAGGGTGGTCGCCCGGGCGTCGAGATACACTCGTCGCAGGCAGGAGCGATGGTCCTGCGGACGGCGAAAGCGAGTATCTACGAAACAGAAAACTTGCTCTAAGGCCCTTGCGATAGCGCTGCGATTCTGTTCTCGAGTGCTGGGTCGGTGTGTCCCTCGTAGTTGGCCACTTCTTGTAGCGCCTCCGCAGACCAGCTTGGCCGCAAGCGCTCCCCAAAGGTTATATGGAGGGCCTGAAGTAAATTGCGCCGCTCTTCGGGGGTGAGCGTCGCAAGGGCGAGCCTCAGGCAGGAAAAGCAGAATACCACATGGCTTTCTGACAAAACGGCGCACCCAACACAGCTCACGACCCATGCATCGTATAGAAGAAGCAGGCCAGGTAGCCGAGCATTGGCATGAGCTGGCCTGAGAGTGACCCAGGTTTGTCTGGGTCTTCGGTGGCAGCTATTGGGGCAACTGGGGCCAAGGCGCGAAGAAGCTATGTGGCCAATGGCTCTGTTACGTCCAATTGTATGCAATGGCGTTCGAGCCACACAGATGCTAGACTCAATCAGCCACTGCGCCTGTTTGGCTCCAAGGCTGCTCTCCTGCAGGTGTGGCTCTTTATTCATGCGGGGCTGCATAATTTGCTGAGTGAAAATCCGAAAACTAAATCCGAGCCCTGGGGGCTGCGCCCGCGCCAGGGGAACATGAAACCCATCTTTCAGCAAGCCCCTTATACTGACGTTCAACATCTGTCGAAATTGCCACCACCTTCGCGGTCATCGCCTTCTGGCGTCGGAACATCCGAAGCGAAAGGGCGAGAGTCCTCAGCGTCGCCGCGTGGCTCTGTCTTTGCCTTAGGTGACTTCGCCTTGGTGCTACGCGTCGCCTCGCGCTTCATGCTTGCGGAAGCGGGCTTTTCAGCGGAGCCTCCTTTGATACCCCACGCGTGTCCGCTAGCAACTCTCGCAGCTCGCTGTCGCTTGCTGTACGCTCCTCGAGGCTTTCGCTTGGCGCGAGCAGGGTCGACTCGCCTCTCTTGCCGGGCGACGCGCTCGGCGAACTTGATGCGCGTGTCCGGCCCTCCATGGATCTCGATCATCCGTAAGGCTTCCCGACGTTCTTGAGGCTGCAGCATGAGGAGGTAGTGCGTCACTAGCGCCCCCTCTCGCACCCAAGTCAATTGCTCGAAGCGCTCCTCGCTGCAGAAGACGCAGCGGGGATCCTGCGGAGTGGCGGCCCCTGGATGCCCACTACCATCTAGCGCAAGGGTGCACGCGGCCTTTCCAGCCCTGGCACACGTGCCCATCTCCCTGAGGTGCTCGCCAGAAGTGCCGCCCCCTGCCGTTGGCTGCGGCCTGTTTCCCAGTCTTGTGGCCAACAGCGCTCCCGGGGCTCCGTCCCGGATCCTGTGAGGCCTCGTTCTTGCACCTGGCCTGCCTCTTCCGGCTGTGACCCGGTCTTTCATGATCCAAGTTCGAGGGCAAAGACGATGACGATGATGAAGAGGACGAGCTCGAAATCGCGTCCTCACTACCCTCCAGCGGCCTTGCGCAGAACGCACACATGTCCAGCTCCATGCTTCAATCAGTAGCTCGCAGGCTCTCTAGCATGTGTGGCAGTGAGCACCCCTGGCCTGGCATCTTCTGCCTCCTCGCCGTCGAGCTGCGTGTCTGCAACCCGCCTGTCGCACACGGAGACACGCAACAGCTTGGACTCTGATGCTGCCAGCTCTGCAGTCCTGTCGAGGTCCTTGGCCGTTCGGCCGCAGAGGGCAAGCCTCACTGCGCGCAGCCAGGAAATCAGCACTTCCATCTAGACGATCTAAGCTGGGGCTCCGGCTGCCAGACCAGCGCAGCTATTGACAGCATGCAACGCGCGCTCTGCGTGGCAAAGGGAGCTACGAGACGGGTGCGCAACCTTTCCAATGTCCTGGAGCCTGAGAGTCGCGATCGCTGTGATTATGTTACAAGCAGGGCTCGTGCCGTTTTACCATCCATCGTGCAGCAATGCTTTTTCATGTGCCATGTCGTTACCCAGTGGCGCGATTCACCGCGGGGGCTGGGCCCGCTCCGCGCAACTCATGCCACAGAGAAGACGCTGCAGAACTACTTGCGGCTGCAGCTGCAGAAAACTCACGGAACTTCGACTGTGGCACAGTATGCGAAGCTGATGATGACGTGGTCTGTCAGTCGTCGGACTTCTCTCCGTTCTTCTCATCCGGGGTCTCCTCGGGCAATGCCTCAGGAACCTCTCCCGCGGCCAGGATCTCCTTGCGATGCTTGTCTTTGCCATCCTTCTCCTTAGGGGCCTTTGCATCCTTCTTCGCCTGCTTCCTGGCTTCTTTCTTTGCCTTCTTGCGGCGCTTGTTCGAGGAGTCGCTGGAAGAAGAATCCGACGAGGAGGGCTTGCGCTTCTTGCCAGGTGCAGCCGCGGCCACGCCCCACGGCGCGTCATCATCGTCGCTGTCTCCACCCCAAGCGCTGCCCTGGGAGCGCTGCCAGGCTGTTTCATCGGCGTGCCTCTGGGTGATGGAAGCAAGGAGGTACTGCATCAGGAGCTCACGGTCCTTCGGCGCAGCTTGCCATGCGGCGAGGACGTTCTCGGTTCTCGCAGTCGCTGGGATCTTGGTGGACCAATTCGCTAGGGCATTCGTGAGGGTGGTTGCCTCCAATAGTTGAGAGCACCCTAGATACAACGTGCTGGCGAAGAGGAGGACGTCGGGAAGCGAGTCCGACAACGCCGTCTTGTTGTCCCTGAAGAACCCGATCCAGCCCGCGAGGGCGGTTCTCAACTGACCAGGGAGACTCGCCCGACGCGATCTCTGGCCAGGATGTCCTGTGCTGCCTTGAAGTGTTTGCCAGCATCGCCGCCGAGTAGATGGGCGAGCTGACTCAGTCCCAAGAAGGCTGGGTCCTTGTTTCCCGATGACTGCCAGGACTGCAGCATATTCTGCAAAGCACAGACCGAAGATCCTATGGTTGAGAGTCCCACGGAGGGTCTGCGGCAGAGCTCGCTGTTTTTTGAGTCCAGGATGCGTCGCATGCTTGCTTTGCTGAAGGCTTCTTTGCCGGCGGCTTGCGAGTAGATGGCGCTGCCTTTGTCGTCGGCATAGGGCCGCAGCACAGCCTTAGCAAGAGCATAGCGGCCCTCGAGACGAGGGATCCACTCTTTACTTTTGCCTTTGCCGCCCTTGTCATCACCATAAGCCGCCTTGCCTTTCTCGCTGCCCCATGAATTCCAGTCCTGCGACCGCTGTTCTCGGTTGGCGCTCCAGGTGTCGGTGCTTGCGCTCGACCATGATGGTGCCCACGAGTCCCAGGCCCAGGTCTGATTGTGGGACTGGCCCTTGCCTTTGCAGGCCTTGCCCTTGCCGCTGCCCTTGTTATACTTGCCCCACATGGCTCGGTTCTATCTAGTACGCTGTACGGCGACGTCCCTCAGGATCAGATCAACGACGCTTGGGCCTTAAGAAAGACACAACGAAACATGCAGGCTTCGCTTCAGTCCTGCGGGTCATTCCCTTCACGCAAGCTACACGCACTTCGGCACTCACACGCGACATTTTGGAGCCCAACGCGGATCGCGCGGGGACGCTGGCGCACTTAGATCACCGCGGAGCGTATGAGACGGGGTTCAGACGCAATCTGAGCCACTGGCAGACCGGGTAGTCGGGACGTACAATACCTGTCTAAGGCTTCGGCTCAGGTCCAACAGGGCCGTGTGCGGAAGCATATGCGCACAGCCAAGCAGCTACGCTTCGCATATCAGACCTGCACGCGCTTGTCGTGCCATGTTTATTCATGGAACGCACTTGCTCGCAAAGCCATGCAGCTCAGGCTGCAGTACGAG